GGGAGGACGTGGCTATGGATTTTATTACTTGTTTGCCTAAATCTCAGGGGTATACGTGTGTGATGGTTGTGGTGGATAGGCTGTCCGAGTATGGACACTTCATTGCGTTAAAACCGCCAATTACAGCTCAGTCTGTGGCTGATACTTTCGTGCGGGAGATCGTTCGGTTACATGGTATGCCAGGATCCATAGTTAGTGATAGAGATCCGCTATTCGTCAGTACCTTTTGGAAAGAATTGTTCCAGCAGTCAGGTACCCACTTGAAGTACAGTTCTGCATACCATCCTGAAACGGATGGCCAAAGGGAAGTGTTAAACCGTATTTTGGAAACATATCTTCATTGTTTTACATGTGACCAGCCTAAGAAGTGGCTTCGTTGGTTACCTTGGGCGGAGTATTGGTACAATACTGTTTACCAAACAGCTGCCGGGATGACTCCTTTTGAAGTAGTGTATGGCAGGCCGCCACCATCCTTACGGCAGTTCTTGTCAGGTGAGTGCCGGGTGGAGGCTGTGGCAGAAGTTCTGGGGGGACGGGATGAGCTGCTGTGTCGCTTGAGGGGTAATCTAGAAAAGTCACAACAACAAATGATTAAGCAGGCAAACAAGCGCAGGCGAGAAGTGGTATTTGAAGTCGGGGACCGTGTATTCCTGAAAGTTCGACCGTATCGGCAAACTTCTATAGCAAAGCAAGCTCATCACAAGATAGCTGCCAAGTTCTATGGCCCCTTTGTGGTCGAAAGACGTGTGGGTCCAACGGCGTACCGACTGTCTCTCCCAGCTTCTAGCAGGATCCACCCTGTTTTTCATGTGTCGCAGCTACGCCGGGTAGTCGGGAATCATCCCATTGAAACAGAGTTGCCAGAGCGTTTGGAAGTACCTATTGGGCCGGTGTTCGAGCCGGCTACTGTTTTGGCTTCGCGGAATGTGCAGGAGAAAGGGAAAGGTGTTGAGCAAGTGTTGGTGCAGTGGGTTTGGTCAGTCGGAAGATGATGCTACGTGGATTGGGCTGCAGCAGTTCCCTTACTTCAACCTTGGGGAAGGTTGTTTTAGAGGGGGAGGAAATTGTTAGAGAGCGGGAGGCAGTTGGGCCGAGGCTCCAGGAGGAGGCAACTGGGCCGCTCCTTCAGGAGGACGGGCCTCGCCCATTATTGGTTTACCATCGCCGCCAGCGGGTCTAGATGGGATGGATTGACGGCTGGGTTTTATTACTTTATATCATTCAATTGTTAGTTCTAATAAACTGTTGGGCCTAGATGGGCATATTTTATTATTAGGTTACTGGGCCTAGATGGCCATATTTTATTATTAGGTTAAGGAGTATTTAAGGAGGTCTGATCTTGTGAACTAGGAGGGGTTATTGAGATAAAGGATTTGGTTTGAGCCAAAGGCTGGGACAGACGTTAATATCGTCTGCTAGGGTTTTCTGCTTCTATCACGGACCCACCCCATTGTATGCACGGGGCGGGGCAGATCCAACCCATTTGCAAGACGGGTGGGCGGACCCGCCCCAAATGTCTCGGGGCGGGGCGGGTCTCTACAGGCCGGGCTTTTTTGACATGCCTAGCATGACCTGCAGGGACCTATGGCCAGGTCTTTCACGACCTGCACCAACTTCTCCAACTAGTTTTACGTTTCGTCTTTCCACAACTTAAGGCTTTAATTTTATTTTACATAGTACACAGGTTGGATTGATAAATCTCAGAGCCTAAAATGTTGGCCTGCAGTCGCCACCCAGACAGTTAGACGACACCAAAAATCGCTCAGCAACGGCCACTTTCTTCCAGTCGAGTTGAACGCTCTTGGCGACACTCCTCTCCACTGGGTTGTCTACTTTATGGTTCCAAATTGTTTTTTCAGATACAACAACTAAACTATGGGGCTGTTTACTTTTTTGTCTATTAAATCCTGTCTGGGTTAAGATGCCTACATGGGTTAAGACGTCTATATGGGTTAAGATGTCTGTCTGGATTAAGTGATATTTGTATATGAGGCTGTTTATTTTGTATGTTGAATAAACAGTCTGAATCGAGTAAAATTATCAATTTAGTATTATTCTTAGATTATAATGTCAATGAAAAACCTCATATACTATAAATCAATTTGAAAAAATTGACATGAAAAAAACGTCTTAATAGACGTCTTAATGGGAAGGACTGTTATTCTTTAGCTTAATGATTAAGTCAGATTTTTGACTGGATGATTAAGTCATGTTTCCAATTAAGTCATAAGTAAACATGACTTAATGACTGAATGATTAAGTCATCATTGTTGTTAAGTCCATTAAACAGCCCCATAATGATTAAGTCGGAAGTAAACAGCCCCATAATATGTTCCAGAACAGAAATGATAAAATCAGGCATAAAATTTCACCAAAAGTCATTCACATTTTACACAGAGAAAGAGATGAAGCGCTCCACTGTTAAGCACTCCAGCTCCGCATACAAAAGCCGATTCGGGATAATTTAAAAGAGGATTGATTACACGATTTTTGCTTGAGGGGTCTTAGATTAAAAGGCATGAGGCACTATAAGATGTTTTTGTTAAATTTAGTCATGGTGAAGGCGAAGGCCTCATGGAACTTAAACACACAGATCTGCTAAAATACGTGTACATCTTATACATGATACTTTCTATCCAAAAATAATGATACAGCAACAACATCCAAGCCTTGGTCCAAAAAGATTTTGAGGTCGGCTATCATGAATCGATACATGATATCAGAATCAGAAGGAAAGAAAGATGAGAAAGATAAAACGATAAGCTATGATGAAAAAGATAATATAAAAAGAGATAAGATGTACAAAGAAATGATAGAATAAAAAGGATAAAAAGAATATATGTGAATATATATCGAAAAAAAGATAAGAAACAAAAACACAAGAAAGAAAAAGAAGATGAGGAAAAAGGTGAACAAGAGAAACAAAATAAGCATTCAATGGTTACTGATTTAATGTGTCCTGGAGCTTTAAGTTTTACTGATTTAACTAAAGTATATAATGTAAAGTTCATATTTACTATTTTAATATGCCCTGGACTTTGAAAATAAAAATATACTCCCTCCGTCCCGCTAGAAGGTTCCCGTGAACGGTTTACGATGCTTGACTGACGATAAAGCAACTTAATCCCTGTTCACATTCTGATTAGTTTTAGTGAATAAAATTAATATATTCAGAAACTGCATTAAAACCACTAGAAAGGCTGATAAAAAAATGTAAATTTGATAAAAATTTGATTTATAAAGGAAACGATTAAAAGTGATTTAAGTTGACCATGCAAATAGTGGACGGGAACCTTCTAATGGGACGGAGGTAGTATCAGTTAGTCACTTAATTACATGGCTAAAACATTAAGGCTTCTGCTTTTAAGACTCAAAATCATTACAAATTAAGGCTTGCTGGTTACAATCAGAAAGATCATATTCAGGCTTCTGGTTTTAAGACTATCATGAAGATTAGAAATTAGCTTTACCACTTGTAGTTTATATATGAATGCTTCTAGTTATAAATTTGAATTTTAATGTAAACCTTATTTTGCTAGGAATACAAAAGTAGGTTGGTAACACAGTCACCGAGTGACGCACACAGACTAGGCAAGTAATTAACTTATAAAAAAAGAAAGGAGAGCTTGTGCACATACTGCTCTATCTGTGATTGGAGCAAAAGAGCAGGAGAGCATGAGTCAAGCAGTAGAGAGCACAAAGAAAATACTAAAAAAATGAGAGATGGAGTGGTTTTGGACTCTGGAAAGTGGATGACCTCTTATTAAATACTCCCCAAATAAACCACATATAGAGCAGGGGAAGAGTTTCAAGTTATCTGTTGTGATTTTTTCATCGCATCTATGCGCTTTGTGATTAGTAGTGCCTAGTGTGCGCTTTTTTAAACTAAGGATGGGATCAAACTCTAGACACAGAACTAGGTGACTTTGTGTGTGCATATATACAAACATCACAAGCACATAGATCCTGTGGGGCGGAGACGTGATGTCAGATAATCACAAACTCTCATCAAACAAACTAGAAATTGAATGTTTTGATTGAGGATGTTTTTACTTGGACTGTAATTTGTTGGTCTGGTCTGGTCTGATCTGGTCTGAACTGGTCTGAACTGGTCTGGTTTCTTTGTATTTTTATAACTATCCAAGTCTGGTCTGGTCTGAACTGGTCTGGGACGAATTACAGTCCAAGTAAAAACATCCTGAATCCACAAAATGATCAATATTTACCTTTTATAAAGTGAGAAGATAATTTACTCTCATCCTTTAAAAACTATTTCCTACGATTCAGTACCATATACTCGGATCCAAACTCAAATCATTCAACCCAAGCATTTCAAACATGCACTCTATAAATTCAACCCATTTGATCATTTTAATGAAATAAGGCTCTAGCCAAATCTCATTAATTGGTATCAAAGAGTGCATAGTCGCATACATTGTGCACAATGGCTCAAATGGATTTAGACTAACTAGACAAGAAGATACGTGAGAATAAACGACACCATGATAGTGTTATATGAAACTACAGTTACGAAATAGATGTATCATGATGTTGGTTATGACTTAGCAAAGTTGCATGAAAATGTATGGGATTATTGTCATATTTGTTAACCAATTTGTGTAGTCGGAGTTGCCAACACAAACTTGATAGAAGCAATAATAGAAAGTATTGGAGAAATGGAGAGAAAATAAACAAGTATAACTTCAAAAAAAAATGCTTTGTTTATTTATAGTAGGGGCAAGAAGACGGGTATTTTATCTATGTTATTAATTTGAAGCGATCTCAGTGCTTGCTTTAAGTCATAAGATCACAAATAAAGGATGATTTGTATAGTTGAGGACTTGAGGTTGCTCATTGCGCTGAGTGAAGATAAACTTGACCTCAATATTTCAGTCCAAGTTTAAACGCAACTTCAGCTTCATCTTTTACCCAGGAAATTGTGACAGAATATAGGGGAAAAGGACTGACCAGTAGCCACATAAAAGGGTTTAAAGAATTACCAATCTGGAAGCAACTTTCTTTTCTTGTTCATAACCACTTGCAAAAACATCCTTAAGAGCTGCTGGGAGGACCTTCCAAAACTCATTGACAAACTCATTACCTTTGCGGCGACTATTTTGCAGTATATCATTGGCCAAATATAAAAAGGCAACGCGCTGCTCTTTCTGTGCAGATTTAAACAATTTATCCCATGTCTCAACAATTTGTTTGGCTTTCTTCCTAAAAGAAGTGCACCATCGAGACAATGCTAACGGAATGTCAAAGAAACCATCCAGGGCCAAAAGCATTAAACAAATGAACAGACTAATCATACAAGTATCTAGTCATATTCTACACAATACTACTAAATTAACAGTCTGAGTCAAAGAAAGAGAAATTGAATTTGCATTATGAATAATATACGTAGTAGAAAACCTTGATCTGCTAAAATTGCCATAATGAGATAAAGGCTTAGTAACGAGTGCAGATAATTCTCTGTGATATTCAAAGAGTGTGAAACCTATGGAGCATATCTTAAACGCGTGAAAGGATATCACCTGACCCCTTGTAGATATCAGATAGAATGTTGTTAAATACTAAATTAATGTTGATTTTACCTCATCATAGCCAAACTACATGAAAAGATTGAAAACTGTGAATTAACTGCCTATGGTATCTGCTTGTAAAGAATGTCGGAGCTGCACATAATATCTGCAACTCTACCCCCTTGAGGATAGGTCATGAAAACTAGCTCAAACTAGTGTTTTCATAATTTAATTAGTTCCTTTGAGCTTCTTTTATTCTTGCATAATTCCCCTTCCAAAATATTTATGACTCCATACAACTACCAAATCTAAGCAATTGCCTACATGTCCGCTCTTAAACATCAAAATGTTTCTCCTCCATTTTACAAGTCATGGGTGTTGCTTGTTATTCTTTTGTCCCTGCTACTACGCTAGTTGCATAATTGAATAATTGACAAGCACTAATTATGAAATAATTACGAAAGGTGAGAGTTTTGATCTTTTGGGTTTTAAGAGAGAATGTGTTAAACTATTTCTACATATTTGACAATCAAATAAGATAAATATTGCCGGAATGGATAATTGTGTAATCACCAAAGCGCGAGGTATTACTGATTTACTGAAAAAATGAAGGTTGGACTCGTAATGATGAACTAACCTAGGGAGATAGAAGTGGATTTCTATTGTATTTTTTCAAAATGATAAATTCGAAAGTTGCACCAAGAAAATGACAAATATCAATTTCCAAAATGCAAAATGCAACTCCAAAACCCTTCCAAACAGGATTAGAATAACAAGAGAGAAAAAATAATGAAATTGTTGTCCCGTTTTGGGGGTTTATAAACTTTTGGCATAGAGCATTGTATAACAATGCAAACTTATTCTCACAATGAAGCTAATAAAATTACATGAGAACGATCGAGAGATTTTGGGTCTTTTAACTTCAGGGATAGGCGCATAGCTAAAACTTATACAAGGACAAAATATCCTCACAATGAAGTCAAGTGAGACATGTGGGAACACTAGAGAGGTTGTGGTCCAAATAGGCATTTCAGCCTCAGCACACATTAGCAAAATGCCATCTCCATCACCATATATGAACTCCACGGCAAAACAAGTGGGTGGAGCTTGATAATTCTTCGGTTCTTCCCCAAAAGAACCAACATAATAGAATTATATAAGAAGGAAAAAAGAGATAAGATTTCAGCTTCTGTTTGAACAAAAAATGAGGCTTAAAACAACCCAATCTTCTCTCAAAAGGATACATTCAATGCACTGCTGTGAACCGTTAAGTTTAGACAACTTTTCTGTCAAAGCTTTGCCATCAAAAGGTTCATCACCCATCCTCTTGCTGGCAATGCTTAGACTAAAACTCTCTGCAATAGAAATGCGAAATGAATCATAACTATGATATGCAAGGTAAGAAAAATACAAAATAACAAGGCACTTGAAACACAGGTTCCTGGCTAGGTGATTATATAGCAGTGCATCGTCTAATTATTTCCATTGTGAAGTTTCAATAATGAAGAGCTCAACTTGTAGAGAGTTTCATCCTCTCGAACCCTCAAGTACTATGTCCATCAAGATAAGCATATATAAATAGCAGACTGAGAATTTCATCAAAGAAATTGACATCACAGTGGTTGTGCATCAGCATCCAGCCAAAGGATGGAAAAAAATGCAAAATAAAAAACATAAATGTAGTTACAACTTACAACTCACATTTAGAAAGAGAGAAAAACTTCTGTACAATTCAAAATTTTAATTCCCCTGCTAAAGTATAGAAAGCATCGTCTTGACTACGAAATGTATAAAATACCAAAATTCAAATGATATATTGATAGGTTACACTTTTTCAGGAAAACAAAGAAGAATAAAATCTTCATAAGTATTTATTGAACCTTACGCTCCTATACCCGGACCACAGCTCTCATATTCCTATTATCTGACTGACAAATAATTTACAGCCACTCAAATTCCTCCTGCTAAACATCAAAACCAGACAGACACCACCTATTATCTGAATCAGGTTTTAGCATTTGTGTTAAATAACATGTCTCCATGTTGTAATACAGACCAGAAACAACTGAGGCTATAAGCACAGCATACTCAAAAGTAAAGGAATGAAATATAAAACTCAAGGTTAATTTCAGCTCAAATGCTGCAGCATCTACTATCATTGATTTTAGAGGAAGAAAAATAAAAAAAAAAGTTACTAGCTTTGACATGTAAACCTGCGTTTTCAATCTGGGGGGATAACTTTAGTAAATAATTGGCAAAAAATCAAATTATAGAACTCCGGACCTTTACTTAAAAATAAATAGTGATTGACACTCACTAGACAAAAAAAGTGAAGAAAATACTATATACGTAGTATATTACATAGCTCAATTACTTTGGGAAAAAGACGGTTACTCGCTTCCACTATGATCTGTGTCTCGCAAGGATCTTTTAGTCTTTCTCTAGCGCTTGGGGTTCTATGTTCCACCTTCATTAAACATGTCCAGGGTAAAACAGTGTCCGACAAAGAAAAGCTCACTCAGTTCGTCTTGAGCTGAATAGCGCCAGTAACAATTATCATACCACCACCAGACAGGATTAAATTCAAATAAAAACTGCAAAATATCACCTCGAACTGAAACGCTATCAGCTACGCCACATCCTGATTTTTGAGCAATGAAATCAATTATCCCTGCAACCACAACCGCGGAGAGAACGAAAAACTTACATTCTATAAAAACTAGTGACAAAATATGTAATCAGTCATTCGGGGGCTCAGTCATACTCGGTTGTGAGGGTAAGTACTTCTCCAGAAACCCTAACAGAGAGAGAATGTGTAAGAATGCAAAGCCTTTAGAATTCTCCGTTTAATGGAGCCTGTCGCGTTTGGGCAAGCCGAGATACGAAAGGAGCTCAAACTTTACCCTCGAAAAGGTTGTTCTCCGCTTTTATTCGTTTTCTTATTACTCGGGATACTAATTACTACTCCCTAAAATTAACAGGATTATGTGTCGTTTTGTATGCTCTTATTGATTTTTCTTAGTCAATGATGGTTAGGTTGACCAATGATATCTTTTAATACAAAATTATTTAAAATATGAAAATTATATGAACATTTATTCTTTATTAAAAAATCTTACATAAAAGTATAAAATTTATAAATTACAAACAAATATAATACCTAAAATCATTGTCTAAACTTTTTCACCATTGACCAAGAAAAGTCAAAATGTATCAATCTTTTTGGGACGAAGGTAGTAATAGGATATGATACTTTTTTAAAATATTGTTTGGTCATGTAAAATGAATGTAAATTGTCATAGAAGTAACATGCATAATAAATCAATATATATATAAAGGAGAAATTTTTTAAGAGCATACAAAACGTCACATAATCTTGTCATGTCATTCATTATATATAACAATCAATATATATTATATATATATATATATATATATATATATATGTGTGTGTGTGTATATACTACCTCCGTTCTTAAATAAGTTCAACATGTGAAATATTACACTATTCACATGTTCTACTTTGACTACATTTTATTTATTGATGTATTAATATATTTTTTTGAAAAATATATTATTAAATTTGTCTCATTGTAAATTTTCAAAAACTATTTTTTAAAAAATTTTTACTAATAGAGAATTATATATATCAATGGTCAAAGTTATGTCTCGGCGAGTGTGAAATGTTGATTGTTGCACTTATTTAAGAACGGAGGAAGTATATAAAAGAGAAACTTTTTAAGAGCATACAAAACGACACATAATCCTGTTATGTCATCCATCATGTATAACAATTAGTCCGTATTTAGTTATTTTTATACTCCGTACCTTTTATTTTTATTGTATTCTATTTTTGATTGCATATAGAAACAAATGACTCTAGATTCCGTCACTTTTGAAATAGATCGATTCATAATCTAAATTAGGAAATCTTTATATGTTTACAAATTCCTAATTTTGTTTACTCTTAAGATGTTTTTTAATTAGATCGATTTCAGTCTCAGACTAAATCAGATCAGATCAAACTTTAATAATAATTGGACACATAAAGTGTAAAACAGAAATCTACTAGATCATATTACTTTAAACCAAATCAAAGCCAAAAATTTTAATTCAATTAAAAACGTCCTTATTAATTACAGTCCAAGTAAAAACATCCTAAGTAAAATGTAAAATCTTACTATTAAAAATATGTACTCCATATTTCATACCAAGTTGAATGAGGAATATTTAAAAAATATTTTGAGGCGCATAATAAAGTAATTTAGAGGACATGAAAATAATTAAAAAGCTTCTCTATGAATTCTTTAAAATTTGGTTCATAACAATTATGCTTAGTAGAGAAGCTTATGTAGAAGACCATTTATACAATTTTTCATATAATTTTTATTTATTTAACAAATGGAATATTTTTTTTCATGATTCGGGATTTTCACTTATTCAACCTATTCAGCTGGAATTTAATTAATTTCAGCAAAATAAACCGATTCCACCAATATTAGTATTATCAAATAGACTCTATATTTAAACTAAGTTTATTTTGCTTTTGCATCACATTATATATGATTCTAAAAACCAATCAAATTTTAAATTAGATAAATTACATACCGCACGTGCATCGCACGGGCTTGAAACCTAGTTATAAATAAAAATCGGATAGTGAAAACTCAGAGATAGGTAGTAAGTTTGTTTTGGAATAAGCAGAAATAACGAAATGTTATTAAATAGCATGTCTCAGTATCTTCACCGCAGATCAATATCTGCAGTGCGATAACTTACACATTGCGAAAAACTTCATTATAAACTACATTGGTGATATGGTGAGTTGGTTGGTCACAGGGCCGGCTTTGGGGATTTTGGTGCCCCAGACCATAAATGAGTTTAGATAATACTTTAAATAAATCAATACTAAAATTATATATGAAGTAGATAAAAATTGAAAAACGCGATTACTACCTAATGTACCAAAAAGTGATTGTAAAATGTAATTTAACTTACAAATAACATAGTATTCAAAATGTATATATTCTTATATAAAATAGATAAGTTATAAATGTAAAATGTACTACCAAATAATCAAATATTCTTGCCTTTTGAAGTGCAAAATTTGTGAGTATATCATTACAATCAAGAATATACAATATTCTTAGCAAACATAACAAACATAATCGTTATTTTTAGCAAAAATAACTGTCATTGCAAACACTGCAGAATATTCCCTCCATCCCGCTAATATTGTCTCATTTTTTCTTTTCGGAAAATACCACTAAGATTGTCCCATATCAAATTTGATAAAATTTGTGTGACTCTAAATCATTCTCACTTTGTTCTTACTAAATCGATTCAATATCAACCACATAAACTCATTTTTTTAATAATTTTGTCATTTCCGCATGTCTCAATGTTAGTGGGACAGAGGTAGTTGTAATAATTATTTTTAATCACATAAACTCACTTTTTTAATAATTGTGTCACTTCCACATGTCACAATGTTAATGGGATGGATGTATAGCAATAATTATTTATCAACCACAATATCAACCACATGAACTCAATTTTCTTAAGTACTGATTATTTATACTATAATTATAAGTTACTCCCTCCGTTCCTATTAAAACTTCTAACTTTCCTTTTTCGTCCGTTCCAATTAAAACTTCCATTTTCTCGTTTTAGTAAAGAATTTGTGGTTCACAACATTTCTTACACATTTTTCTCTCCTCTACATAACTCTCCACCACACAATACTCATTATCTTAAATTGTGTGCCAAACCTATTTGGAAGATAAAATAGGAACGAATGGAGTAGTAAGTATAATTTATAGAGAGCAATTTTCAGAATAACTTTAAAAACAATAACTTCAAGCTAAGTATAAGTGATAAATTCATGACACGTTTTTACAAAGAAAAATCATAATCTTAACTATATAAATCAATTACAACAATATAATTACAAAAATTAAATACCGCACATTTGTAATGTTGTGTCTCTTGATTGGAATTTCGAGAAGTCGGAAGCCTAATTCGGATATTACTTGGAACAAAGAAGGAAGTTGAATTGGTATGTTGGTGATTTAAAGAAGTAAAGGATAGTGTGATGTAGATTAAATTACTCTGTATTAGTGAAAGCCTCAAAGGTTGCATAGGTTTGTCTTGGAGTAATTTAGTTTTTAATTAAAAAATGCAAAATGAAATGTTAAATTTCAACGGGTAATTGGTATGGCCATGCGGATGAATGGATGATGTCTTGATGAATTGGTGGGTCAGTTTTTGTCTTTTTGAATTTTCAATAGTTAATACTCCATAATACGGTTTCATTTTAGCATATATACATATATATATATATATATATATATATATATATATATATATATATATATATATATATATATATATATACGAATATGGTTAATACTCCATATTACTAGATTTTTTTAAAACATGGTGCCCCTTTTCAAAGTGATGCCCTAGCCAGTAGCCTATGTTCCTATGGCCTAAAGTCGGTCCTGGTTAGTCATCTTCATTGTAGCTCAATATCTTCAAACCCTTAGGATTTGTTACTCTTGACACTACAACATACAGTTGACCATGCGTGAAGACCGACTTTTTCAATAATAGTCCAATGTGAGACAAAGATTGTCCTTGACTCTTATTTGTAGTCATCGCGTAAGAGATCATGACTGGAAATTGTCTTCTCTGAAACTTGAACGGTATTCTTGAATCCGAAGGAGTTAAGCTTATTTCAAAGTTTTTTAAATAATTAAAGCATTATTATTATAAATAACAATCTAAATACTCATTAGTTACAATTTAATTTTGAAATGTGAATAAGTACAAAAACACTTTTCAGTTAAAATAATAAACTCAATGGTACTAATAAATCATCCTTCTACACAACTCAAACCACCTTTTTTGTTAGCTCATATGTAAAGCCCAACCCAACTAACATTCAACCCACCCCAAAAACTAAAATCTAATTATACCGTATATAATGGTTTGTTTTTAATCAGCCTCTTCATCCATCCATCCGTACATGTACCGCATTCACAGACCCGATGGTTCATCGCCTGACCACTTGTATCCTAGAGTTCTATGTTGGCCTTTGTCACTCTCATACAATCCCTTCTCCAAGCTTTGTAGTGACGATCCATTCCATGTTTGAATCATGTTGGTTGTTTCTTAGTGCTACATATATGTAAATCGGAAGCCGGTTAAAATTGTTCTGTCGGACCCTTATTCGACTATTCCGAATCTCATGGTGGCTGAGAGCACGAGGAATGATCTCATACGGCTTACTTTCTGGCTTCTGGTCATTTGGGTATATTTGTTTTCACCTGTGTCCTCGATTTTGATATTTTTTTTGCATGCCTATCACACACACGCCTACTACACACATGTACATATATTTGGGATTGTGAGGATCATTCTAGCACTGGGGGTTTGGAGATAATCTCGAAAACGGTACAGTTTCCTTTTTATGGTAAACTTGAAAGCACTAAATAATGGTGTACTGATCTTGTAAGACTTGTTCCAGCCGTCAGTGTGTGGTGTTGATCTTGCAAATTTGTTTTCTTATAATTAAGTTGAAGGGAACTCATTAATGGTTTCAAAATTAATTTTGGCCTCTGCTGTTAGGAACTTCTCTAATGCAAACTCATATTCGTATTAATTTGTAATTATTGTCATTTTTACATTGTATGGTCTTTGAACTATAACTCTGTTTTTCTAAAGGCAACGAAGATAATTTATATTTGAAGACCCAACACCCCAACCTATATCTCATTTGAAAGCACACACCTCTCACAATCTCCACCCCACTTCCTACTCATTTTTGGCTCTTTCACCTTTACCTGTCAATTGATAGATTTTTGTAGATAGATTCCAAACCACTTCTAACATTG